TCATGGCTATCACACGTGCTTATGAGGTTTAAGTTTATTATTTTAGTTGTTACATATAAGAAGGTATTCTGAATACTTTCAAAAAACATATGACTAAGAGCACATCTGTTATAGACATTTGTTCTTTCATTTTTACCAAATTTACAGTTATCTTTTCAGGTTTTGTCAGATCCCTTGAAAAAAGAACGCTACGATAAATTTGGTTCATTCGACGATCCACCTTCTAGTCATTCATATACGCATCATCCGTTCGATAATTTGGTAAATGATTTTTCGTTCTTTAAATAAATGTACTGAGACTCAAGAATCATTCTGCTTACACGTTTTTTAGTACCTAATATTTAACAGTGAAACACTTAGCTCTATTTGGCAGACAATGTTTATTGAAATACCGAAATATTATATAACTGGCCCTGTGGCGAATTTTTCCTATCATTCGCTATTGTGAGTAGGTGTTAATTAGTTGTTTAAGATAATCAGTTTTAAAGTTAATAATTTTTTCATTTCAAATTTTAATTGGTGCCATCTGGATAAGGATTGAATCTTCGGAAAATTCTTCATATAAAATGAAGTGACTTATTATTCATAAAACAAAACTATTCATTAGAATAATTAACAATATTTGTTCGTCCTATTTTATTGAACATGCAATTGTTCAATTTTGTTCCAGTTTGACTTCGGTTTTGGTGGTTTCGATAGTGGCAACTCTTTTTTCCAAAAGCACCGTATTTCTATGCGGACATTTTCGCATACATTGTTGGAACGCAGCTATTTTCAGCCAGTCATAATATTTGCATATTCCGGTTATTGCCAGCTTTGCTTTCATTTAGAACCTATTTGGCAAAGTGTAGTAAACGATCTTGAACCACTGGGTGAGATTTTTTATTCATTTAATCACGTATTTCTTTCCAAATAGTCTCTTACTTCAAGATTATCTGGTTGTACTTCAGGAGCTGTTTTTTCCTGATTTGTAAAGAGTGACAATGTGCATCCATTTATGCTCAAAGAGAGTAGCTTTTCCGGAGTATCGTGTCTTTGTTTTAAAATCAAAGAATTCAATAGCAAATGTTTCAGGCTATAACATTGGTACAGTTAATGCAATTACTGATGGTAATTTATTGGAAAAAATGCGGATCTCTCGGCTACCATCTATTGTTGTGGTTGTTGAAGGACGAGTTATTCATTATCGAGGCTCAATGCAACGTAAAATATTATATTCTATTTTTTTTCTCGTTATATTTGCCACTTGAAGTCTTCTTAGGAATACCTTAATGATCGCATTTACAGCACTTTCTGCTAAAGCTGTTCGTGTTTTTGCGCGTGACGTAATCCCAAATACTTTCTTACTTAAAATCACAAATCATGATGGCTTACGACGTTTTATTGATCAGTGGAAGAATTCGAACAGGGTATGTTCTTTCCGTTTATCTATTTTTTTTAGTTGTAAATATGAAGCGGAGCATCGAGCATTGTTTGGTAAGCAATATTACAGTTCTATATCCTGAGTGACGTGCTGTGATAAGATGGACTGTGATTTTGTTTTATTTTTGGAAATGTATAAAATACTTAATAAAAGATGCATAGAAGATCCATCCGTTGAAAATGTAAAACTTGTATTTCTTATGCCTTACGAAAATCTCACGTGACACTCGTATTCATTAAAAATTTTTCGACTGGTATCTTTTTATTTTTGCAGATTTCTGTTGTAATCTTCGGAAGCAAAGAAAATCCTCGAATTCGCTACGTCCTTACTGCTATGAAATACGCAACTTTTGCACGATTTGCTTATGTTTACCTGAGCGATCAAAGTACTGAAATTGTAAAAATGCGACAAGCTTTAGATATTACATGTTTCAAATGCGAAAATATACTGATTTTTAATGATTTTCCTCAGGTGAGTTGAAATTCGTATAAATTGTTTGTCATGTTTAATGAAAAGAAATTTGGATGTTATGAATAAACCAGTCCTATATTATTACAGGAAGGACCGATTGCTCGTCTTTCAGTTAGCAATGGTCAGCAGTTTCATGTCGACACTATAGGAGAATTTATTGAGCAAAATAAACATCTCACTCTACCAAGGGTAAGGATTTGGAAGTCATTTTTTCTGAATTACAGTTATTTTTTAAGCAAATAAAAAAACTGCTTGCAAGCAGGATTTTCAGTTCTAGAGTGAAGTACACTACATGTATCACTAGAAAATATCTTGTTTTTATCGTTTATAAGAGTATTTGCAGCTTTCAAGTCAGTCTTATTTCGATGATCTTTGTCCGGTTTCATCACGGGCCTTGCGAAGTTTTTGTATTATTCTTATGACAACAGATTCATCCAGTGATCTGTCGCAAATTGCATCTCTTCGCAATTTCGTTCATGACCGAAAAGATGATTTTAAGAATAAGAGATTACATTTTGCATATGTTTATGTCAACAAACAAAAAGAATTTGTTATGACCTTCTTTGATGGATTATCACCAAAAGAACGTTCTTCTTTACAGGCTAGTTGCTTTGTGTACTTAATGTAAGAAAAAGTGCAAACTCCATTTGACATTAGTTTAGATGACTTACAAAAATGATGCGAACTACCACTTTATCACCAATTGAAAACAGGGGAAATAAGTAAATTAACTCCTTACATTTAAGTGTGTAGATTTTGTTTTTGTCAAGATTGCATATTTTGTGTAAAAATGAAAATCACTACTTCGAAAACTGCTTTTAAAGGAAGGTGGACGTAATCTGCTGATTCTTTGGCGTTATGATCAGAAAAAAGTTCGTTTTGCCTGGTTGAACGAACGGTGGCCGATAAAAGAGAGCATTAGTGAAAGTGATCTTCATTTGGAACTGGAGGCTTACATCAAAGGAGTCACAAAATTAAATTATCAAACAACTCTTAAATCAATGGTTTTTTTTTTTATTTCTGGATAAACTATCAGAAATAATTCATGAGCAGCCGTTTAAATATATCAGTTTATTTTTGTTCCTTATTCGCTGTAATACTCTGAGCAAAGTTTTTCGAATTACTTTTTCTGCCTACACTATAAAATCTATTTAAACCGAATTTCTTTCTTTTCGGAAATCTTCTGAAATATAACTAAATTTAACAGATTTACTTTTTATTTTGTTATAGTTAGATGAATATCGTCCATCGTGGTTTACTCGCATTTCGCGTGCTGCTGTACGAATGTTTGAAACTACATGGTTCAGTCTGACTAAGGAAGAAACTTTACCGTTGTTGAGTGCTGTAGGAACATTGTTGATAATATTTTTTATCGGTTATGGCTTGAGTTATGCAAGTTCATTGGAAGAAAAATCTCGCAGTTACGTTTCACAGGTTTGTTAATTAACCTTACTCGGTCATAGTGTGAGACTTATAAAAAATATGATGATCATTTAAAAAATCGAGACTCTTTGAAAAAACTGATTAATTTGTCTTATATTTCAGGAAATGAGAAAGGATAACAAACAGACTGCTGATGATGATGATCAGTGGCATCCTGAAGATCCGCGTGTTGGGCCTGGAATTAACAATCGGCCGCGAGTGCTCAGAAAACAACAAAGGTAAATAAAAGTATCAGTTTATTCTCAGTAAAGCCAATTGAATTGTATTTTCATGTTTAAAATTCTTCAGAATTAGTTGAGGGACTTCAAAATCCTTTTTTTAGAATAATGCGCGAAATGGAACCAATGATGCATGAATTGAGAGCAGAAACATATTTTGGAATGATCAGACTCTTGAAGCCTGGATGCCGATCTATCGTGGTTCTTGTTGATGAACAGTCAAAGGATATTTTACTACCACAGTTTGCTAAGCATGTTTGGCCATTTAGAAAGTAATGCTCAATGTTTGCGATGTTTATGTTATATCTTTCATTAGTATTCTATTATTTTGTTAATTAACTTAAATAACACCGTGTAACTTTTTAGCAACAAAACATTCTCATTTGGCTATTTAATGGTGGAAAAAAACCTTTCTTGGTTCCGTACGCTCCTGGAGCATACATTACCAGCTGAAAATGGACAAACAGGTGAAGATTTGGAAATCTCATGCTGTTTTCAGTATTTTTCATCGTTTAAAATTTGTAAGAAAGACTATTATCATCTATAGTTTTGTGCTATCTGTGCTCTCTATTTGCTATTATTGAATCTCAAGAGGATGGCAAATTTCCTCTCCTCCTAAAATAGTGGAATTATAAGAATGACGCGAAATTATGCAATTAAAAAATCAGAATACGAATTATAGCAATACTGTTGTTATAATCCTGTCAAATTATAGCAGTCCTGTAAAAGAATACGAATTATAGCAATCCTGTTATTGTTATTAAATCCCTCAAACTGGGGCTATTAAATATTTTTACAGATGGATCATCGATGTATGAACGCTTGAAAAATATAAATCCTCGTAGAACATTAGGAACAGTGCTTGTGTTATGTGGTTGGAAATTATATTTCAATATGTATCATCCTATGCACACACCACCTGGGAAAAAACATTTTCTGGGTTTTGATGATGACGGTAAAGATTTAAGTAGCGAAGATTCCGACATTGACAAAGCATCTCGAGAAGAGGTTAGAATAAAGCTATGTTGTTACAATGCAGAATATTTTATTTATAATTCAAATATTTTTTAGTTGAAGTTTGGATATGCTATCTATTTTCTCAGAATATATAGGACTGAATTATTATTATTACAGACCCAGGCCTTGCGCAAAGGACAACATCTAAAATTGGAAGACGTATTGAATGATCTTCCGAACTGGTTGGATCGTTTGGTAGAAGGTTCTATTAGACGATATTATGTACCCGAGTGGCCTAACAATTTGCGATAATTTTTTGAAATTTCATTCGGTAGAGGTATATATATTTTCCAGGTTATGTGAGAGATGAATTTAGTTTTTTGCTTAGTAGAATTCTTATTAAAACTTGATGAATTTTCATGTTTTTTCTTGAATTTTACAGGCATTTTCTAACTTGAAAATGCATTGATTACTAATATTTCGACGTGTAACTAGTGCTTCATCGTGTCAATTTATGTAGGGATTGAACAACTAGAAGTAGAGCAAGCTTCTTAGAAAACAAAATTTCATCAGCTTTAATGTGGTAAATTGTTAATATTTGTTAATAATTGATATGAAGCCGACCTAACAGAAGTGATCATTATATTTAATTTTTAAAATTATTTGAGTTCTCATTGATTTTTTGTTTCTCATTGTCACTGAAGTTCATTGAAGCACTAATCCACGAGCATCCTAACGCTTTAGCGACTGTCATTTGTTTGAAAATTTTCAGTGCTTTTCTGATATCTTTATATTTACTTAGTTTATCGCACATTTCAGCAGCTCCCGAACTTTTGTGTTTTAAAATATTTATGCTTTTGATTTTTCTATTGTATTTTTGCTTTAATGCAATTTTTTCTGCTTTATATAAACAGTTATTTTCTATGCTATAACACATTAAATAATTTTTTGCATTTATAATATGCATATAACTATGACAGTGCTGCTATCTGATTCATTAGTTTTCTAATACTGTGCCGTTTGGGTTTCTTAATATTGTTAAATTGCTATATTTCATTTTATCCTGTTCTGTTTATGCAATCTTTTAGGGCAGAAATTACAGAAATCATAGTTTTTTAAATATTCTGCAATTCTTTTTTTATCGTAGTTTTTTTGATCGCTTATTTTTAAATAGTTTCTACTATAAAAAAAATTGCCATGGCGGTTTCAGTCAATGTTCAGTTATGTGCTTTTTGCTTACTTTGTTTTTATAATCATTGATCGAATCAATTCCAAAATCAAAATGTACATTACTTGAAAATATCTAGTATATATCTCTCATACTCAAATGATAATTGAAAGAGCAAGTGGATTTATGAAGTAATTTATACCTCATTATGCTTGCCATTTCGATTTATGCTTTTTTCATCTTGTAAATTTTGATGAAAGTAATGTTTATTTGTGATAAAATTGAAGCTAGGTTGCTATTCATGATTCATAAAACATTGTTATTTGGCGAACGCTATTTCAATATTTCTGTAAAGTGTTCTTTGGATTTTGAAATAATAAATTATTTATCTCTAGAATGAGAAATGCGATGTCATTATGATGTGTTAGAGATTAATTGTGATGCCGATGATGATACGATCAAAAGGTCTTATCGAAAGTTGGCTCTTAAATGGCATCCTGATAAAAATCCAAACAATGTGGAAGAGTGTAATAGGTAAAATTTCAAGTCTGATTATTACAGAATTGAAGGAACATTAATAAACTAAGTATTCCTTGGTAAGAGTTATCTTTATAAATTCGAAGGGATTGTTCTGCTTTAAAGTACTTATTTTTACCTAGGAAAGATTTTTTTTTACAGGTTTTAACTTATGGGAAAAAATTCTTTTTAAAGGTACTTTGCGCTAGTACAACAAGCGTATGATATTCTGAGTGATCCGCATGAAAGAGCTTGGTATGATCGACATAGAGAAAGTATTTTGAAAGGAGGTTGGTATGAATTCTTTAATGTAAATAATTGCAAATTTCACTAATATCAAGAAATAGCAGCATATGGTGATCTCATATAATTAGACGACAACTGCTATTCAGTATACGTAAGCAGGATGGCAGTATTAGTATTGCTATCTTGTTTCTGTAAATTTTTTGCTCTTTGATGGGATTTTTTAGCAACACAACAACTGTACATTATGCATTATTCTTTTAAATGATAATCACAAAATGAATCGTTGAAATTTCAGGCTGGATCAGTTTAATCAAAATATTTTCATATACACATGAGAATTTATGCTTTAAACAAACATTTATTGTTATTGTTTAGGAATTGACGAGCATTATGAAGACAATAGTCTTAATTTATTCCCCTATTTTACATCAACGTGTTATTCCGGTTTTAATAATAGTGATAAGGTAAGTTTCTCTTTTGAAAACAAACCATGTTCCGCAATATTTTTCAATCATAAATTTTATTGTGGACAAATATAATAATAAAATAGTGAGAGTGGAACATATGTTTCTCCATTTTATGACTTTGTTTTCTCGGAAATATTGCAAAGATTTCAAAGATTTTTCTATATTTAAAAAGTTTTCGTGAATAAAATCTATTGTAAATAAATAAGATTTGACATGCTTTGACTGAAAATGTTGCAGAATTTTTATGCTGTATATAGACAAGTTTTTGACACCATAGCATCCGAAGACTATGAATTCTTGGACATAAAACCTCAGGCATATCCAAGCTTCGGTGATGAAAACAGCACCTATGATGATGTATGTCCAGTTACGGTCTTATTTTATACTTTTTTTT